GGTGAAAACTTTTCTGTCAGAGTCACGATAAAATTAATAATTATATACGTTTAAAAATTACTTTTTAGAAACAACACTTCTACAGAAGCCAGTATCTCCGATGTTACATATGTACAATAAATTTCTAATCTTATTTTTTTTAAATAAAAAAATTATTTTATACTATTTTAATATATTTTTTTCTATTTTTAGCGAATTTTCTCATTTATGGAAAAAAAGGCGCTATTGTGCTCGTCATGTGCATCCGTCTGTCCGTCTGTCTGTCAGTCCGTGACTCCACGTTTTCGTCGACGAGCAAATGCGCTCTCTGTCACTCACTGCAGTGAGTACTGAGTTATATTTTTTAATTATTTATTCTGCCAATTGATTCATGCATTTATTCTCCGATTTTACGCATGTTGCAAAATTTCGGATCGATTGGACATTTAGAAGTGTGTTCAATATCAATTATAAAATTTATAGCAGACAAACGAATAAACAACACGAAGTGAAGTTAAAAAGACGTGTTGTAAAAATTGGAGCAACATTCTCATGCCAATTGATTTTGTTTTCGCGCACTCAAGCGCCTGACTCTTTTAGCTGAAAATGACCGTAAGTACATGCCTTTGAAGTTTATATCATGACTTTCATATCATATGGTGGTGATATTATATATATCTCAGCGCTTAATGGTGCCAAGTCTCGTTGCTGGCGACTCCTTGCTTGGAAACATTGATTAGTAGCGTCGGTTGTTAGCAACCGAACAGCAAGTGCCACGCGCGCCCCGTCGAGTTGTGGCGTCAGTGATCTTGGCACCGCGGCAGTGGGGGCGGTGACACGTAGCTCGTGGTGACTGCCGCGGAGTGTCGCGTGAACCTGGAAGTGTTCCTGAGAAGCGCTGTCTTATCTGATCTCCTCATCGTCAATAAAGGATACGCTTCCTTCGTTATAACTCCTCAATAAAGACATTTTTCTATTAATACCAATTTGACACAATCGTATTTGCCGTTTGCCACAAAAATTGAGCGGCAGATTTAGTTTTCTTGTCTATCTCATAGACAAAGCGATCGATAGGGAACTCGGTCTAAATGGTCTATGTATATAATCACGTCTATAGCCACGCATCGTTCACAACACAAGTTTGTCGTCACTTATATTACGGACGCAGTATTATTGACGAAAGCGAACATTTACTAATTACAGTGCGAATCATTGTCATTCGTAATTTGCATAATGATTGACATGTGTAAATGTTGTACATTTAAAATTACAGGTAATTGGAATTTACCATGTGTCTGATCTAATTTTTACTTCTGAATAAGTATAGTAAGTATCAATTCACTCGCAGTAGCGAAGGTCAGCAGTTTTCCAGTGCATGCAGTTTGTATTAGTTTGAGCTCTCGATAGGCGACGCTGCCTTTATGAACGACCTGCAACAGAGACGTGGCCATGACATATGATGGACCTGCAACAGAGACGTGGCCATGACATATGATGGACCTGCAACAGAGACGTGGCCATGACATATGATCGACCTGCAGCAGAGACGTGGCCGTGACATACGATCGACCTGCAGCAGAGACGTGGCCTCCTCATCTGTATATGAGGTTGATTATATACCTCATATAATATACCTCATCTGCATATAAGGTTGATTATATACCTCATATAATATACCACATCTGAATATTAGGTTGATTCAAATCAATCGTCTTACTAATGCAAGCTTTTGTTGCCACAAAGCTTATGCATTCTTAACTTTCTCTCAGTTGAGTTAGGCAATATTTCAAGAACGTAATTTATTAAGACTTTTCGTTCTCTTAATGAGCCCATAAGTCCCACATAAAAAATATCTCAGAAACATCAAGCAGGAAGTTTAAATCAAGACAGATAAAAATATCAGGTCAAGTATGTTAATATTAGGCTAATATTTTAACCAACCAAATCACATTTTAAAAATTCAAAAGCTCTTCCATAATTTTTCTTTGTAAAAAAGAGAGCAACTTTTGTGTTTAAAAATGATAATTTTACCGCTGCATTAAGTGCTGCAGGCAATGTCAGGTAATTTTACAGCCGCATTAAGTGCTGCTGGCAATGTCGATGCAGCGCCGTCGCTGCTTGACGGCGCTGCATGCACCAGCATCACCAGTCATATATTATTAACAAACTTCAAATATATCAATTTGTGTCGCGTTTTCACGTTCAGGAAATATATACAGCCTGTTGCAATTTTATTAGCATCTACCATGTATTCATTCGTTTTATATAATTAGATGGTAACAGATGATGGAAAATAGTTCGTCTTAATTTATTAATTTAGTAAACGATTACCGTTCATTGAGTGTAAGTTGTTGACATGCTTATGAAGCTAACATATATATTTGTGCAGACTGTGTCTTGAGTACTGTTGCAATATACGTTTGAAGACTATGTCTTGAGGACTGTTGCAATATACGTTTGAAGACTGTGCTCAGAAATGTGCCATTGAGTTGATTTATTCAAGTAAACAAAGACAAAGATCCTGGCCACCGCAACGTTGGAGTGCGAAGTTTGTGACGAAGAATTCAACACGGCCGCCTGTCTGCCCTGCGGCCACTCGTTTGGTTTCTCTTGCATTTCAAATTTAAAATGAGCTCCTGGAAACAGAATTTGCCCCAAAAGCAAGAAAGGAACTTCTCGGCCTATTGACCAAATGTCAATTAGTTACGCATTAATTCCATCAGAAAACGAAACAGTTCAACGCATCAGGTCACCCCTGTCAGAGATATTGTGAACTCATAATATCATAATATTTATTACCAAAATATTATAATTCAGAAAATAATAAGAGTTAGTTAATATAATACTTCCGTTGTTGTTTCGGTCGGGTGTTAAGAGATTGAGTCAAGACTCAAGACCCGAGTTTGTCCCAAGTATTCCCATCCTAATAAGTAATGCAGAGACGGAATGTACATACAGTGACGGAAAGCGGTGGCCATTATTTATTACTCAATCGAACTTCCGCTTCTAAGCAACTCATCGAAAACAATAAAAAAAACTTTTTTCTACATATATCTTGAGCAGCCGTTTCTTACCATCGAATCTTTTCATTATCTTTTATTAAAATATATTCTTCTTTCATTGCCAGAGAAATTTTCACTGTGTTGATGTCTTCTTTATAGAACAACGAAAATTGAAAGAAAGAATTATGTTGTGTTGTGTAAAATTCGAGTTATTTTAGTGATCGAAAACTATATTGCCAATATAAAATGTTTGTTCTCGGTAATTTATGTATTTTAACTTTGTTACACATTCATATTCAACATATTCACAGGTAGTGAGTCTAATTGCCATTTTCTACAACCCTTATATCATAAGGCACCATTTATCAGTTATTGGGCGCTGTCGCTTACAAAGCTCATAAATCTAAGTTCTTTTATATATATTAATGGCTCATATTGTCCTAAAAGTGACGCACTTTCTGCAGGTAGCACTGATACTTCCTTAATTTTGCCGGGAAAATTGAGTCAAGAAGGCCCACACAAGGGCAAGAAGTGCATCAATATTTGTACAAAGTCTGTCGATTTCTCCTAGTGTTCCCGGTGAGGTCCTCAAGATAACGTCAAGTAAAATCAGATACTTGCATATCAGACGCAAGTCAGACATGCAAGGCAGTAAGTTCAGTCTTAATACAAACGATTGTAAATAAACTTCGTGTTTAAATCCGCAAAAAGGGCACTAATAGCAGGGAATGTAAATTTTTTAAAGATATTTTCGCATCGTTTATACCCACACCATTTTGATATTAAAAATTTAAACACGAAATTCTTCAGGTAATTTTTCAGGAAATGCACGGAGAAGAATCAGCACTCATAGCGCCAGCATGAATATGCGCCTTTAGTGACTTTCATAAATAAAATATTTATTTCCTGTTTATACGAATACAGGAACGCTGGTGGGGAACCTTTCTTCTGTAACTAATTGAAAAAATGAATTAGTGGGAGGATGCATGATAATGCCAGGAATCGGTTCTTCAGCTCCCCATACAACCATTTTGTCATGCTTTGTCAATGATTTTTCTTGAATTTTTAATTCCAGTCCAAATTTTAAGGAATGAAAAATTGTTGTTATTATAGATGAACGGAGTACAGGAAATTTGGCTTGTAGACAGTACAAGTTTTTGTAGTTTATACGAGATTTACATCCGTGAAGCACCATGTTTCAATGTTGACGTGCAAAGTTTTAAACAAAGTACGAGTTTATTTAAGCTTCTTCGTCTCTCACCTGATTTAGGATTAAGGAATTCAACCATAAACTTTATTTTCGCAGTAGCGTCATAACTTCTAGGTCAATTAGAGTAAAACGAGTTGTTTTTTCTCGGAGGAAAGAAGTGATGTCAACCAAACAAGCGTTTTAAAGCAACAGATGCTGGATCACAACTATCACTCAGAAGGATTGTGTGAAGCTTACCTATAATTTTGTTGGATATTACTCAATAATAGTTACATGAAACTTTTAAACTCTTCACGAGATGGAAAGTGCGACGATAGAGTGCGACGTTTGTAACGAGAAATTCAACTCGGGCAACCACAAGCCATTTTGCCTAACCTGCAGCCACACGTTTTGCGTTTCTTGCATTAAAAATTCACTAAAACTCCCTGGATCCAAAAATTGTCCAAAACGTAGGAAACAATTTTCCCAACGAATTGCTCAAATGTTGGTCAACTACGCATTAATTCCTTCAGAAAACACGGCTCGCCCACATCCCCCGAGCTCGCTGTCAGAGGCACCGTGCCTCGACATCAAGGGAAGGCGCTGGATTACCTGTGCGTGGACTGCATGGCACGGTGTGCCTTGGACAGTCACCAGCCGTGCTGAAGGAGAGCGAGCTGTCGTCAGCCTGGCCAACAGCCTGTTACGACTTACGAGTACGTCCCAGTCGCCTCGTGGTGCTGTCCACCCACACCCGTCCCATCCCGTGGCTGGAGGAGCTGCTGATGTCGCCACCACGACGGCGACATCAGCCTGCTGCCCCTGGACTTCTTCTGGAGGCCGGCAGGACAGTCGGATGGAGACATGAGAGCCATCATCGACAATTTAAGGTACATTGGTTATTATTTTGAAAATTCAGAAAAATAATATGAACGGGTGAAAATAAGGATAAATTATCCACGACTTATAAACTTTGACTGGCATTAAAGGAGATCGTTGCAAGGAGGCTGGGGTGTGCAACATATTCTCACGAATAAATGCGATAAATGATCATGAATTCAGCATAAGAAAAAATAATACAAATAATTATAATGTGAAAAACACAAAGAGAAACAAATGTAAATAGAGTACGTATTATATATGTATATATATATTTCTTCTGAATAGTACTTAAATTTATATAAATATTGAACCATCATCCTTCCCTCACCCCCTCCCCCCGTATAAACTATCCAAGCCCTGACGGTTCCCTCTACTCAACCCTAACCAAACCCCGCCCACCAGTAACCAACCCGATCATGCGTCATGAGCCTGTCTCATCTCCTACTGTCCTGTCTTGTCTCCTACTGTTCTGTCTCATCTCCTACTGTCCTGTCTCGTCTCCTACTGTCCTGTCTCATCTCCTACTGTCCTGTCTCATCTCCTACTGTCCTGTCTCATCTCCTACTGTCCTGTCTCATATCCTACTGTCCTGTCTCATCACCTACAGTCCTGTCTCATCTCCTACTGTCCTGTCTCATCTCCAACTGTCCTGTCTCATCTCCTACTGTCCTGTCTCATCTCCTACTGTCCTGTCTCATCTCCTACTGTCCTGTCTCACCTCCTACTGTCCTATCTCATCTCCTGCTGTCCTGTCTCAGCTTTTGCTGTCCTGTCTCCTCTCCTACTGTCCTGTCTCATCTACTGCTGTCCAGTCTCATCTCCTGCAGTCCTGTCTCATCTCCTACAGTGCTGTCTCATCTCCTACTGTCCTGTCTAATCTCCTACTACAACTACTACTATTACTACTACTACTACTTTTTCGGTTTTTAGTCTCATCTTAAAGCTGACATTCTGAGCTATCCAAAAGTACCAAAACCATCTCTGTACGTTGGTTTATGCGTTTACTACAGATCCCGAAAGGGGGGAGGTGTCCGGGCCCTTTCAGTAAAGTTGAGGCGGAAATTACCAGGCCGGGCACCATAAAAGGGATCGTCTGACGTAAAGCGATCAATTATGACATTCTCCAGTTCTTATACTCATCTTAAAACTGCTTTTCTGATGCATTCAATAGTACCAAAACCACCTCTGTACGTTGATTTATGCGTTCACTACAGATCCCGAAGGGGAGGGGGGTGGGAGGGTTGTTTAACAAATAATATAGGACTAAATTAGCTGCCGCGTACTATAAATAGTGTGTCTGCTAGAGCCGAGGTTCAGTAACCCGACTGCCGTCGTACGAGGTGCTGTGCTAGCAGTCGCTCCCACCATTCTTGACTGGAATCAAGCTCCAGTAACGCTAAGTCTTGCTTTCTTGCTACATTTAGTGGCTATTCCGATGCGCGCTGGACTTTGCCGCGCCGTTCTAAAAAGTTAACTTATAGTCACGGCAAACCTATCTCCTAGAGTTTTGAAGCTACAGCGATGAGACATATACCATTCGATTTGCAATTAAAATATCTATCGATATGTCGTGGCATTTTTCGAATTTCGTTATAGTTTTGAGACAATTTTGAAAAAAGGGGCGGAAATTGAAAAAAGCGAAAAATTTTCGAAAATTTTTTGAAAAATGCTCCCACATCCATAAAAATTCGAAATTCGAAAACGCTACGATAAATCGATAGATATTTTGATTGCGAATCGAATGGTATATGTCTCATCAATGTAACTTCAAAACTCTAGGAGGAGATAGATTTCTACAGTACTCCCTTTTTGGAGTTTTCTAAGAATTTCACGTTATCTTTCATTTTTTCGAAAAATGGACATGAATAAAAGCTGTCTATTTTTTGTTTTTACATTTGTGTACCAAGTTTCAGAGTGATCCGTCTGTAAACAGCCGAGATAAAATTTTACCCAGACGCTCCCCTTAATTACTTTTTCGGTTAAATTTATTTCATGAATATTAATATGATTGTTCACCCGTACGATTAACATGTGTGATGGTCCAAAGTGATGCATATATAATAGTGATATAGTATAAATCCATATCTCTACATCGTAAATGCGGCTTCGGTAGAGAACTCTTAACTCACAATAGCAAACCCTTTTTTCTGATAGTTTTACATTATTAGAGAATACTCGATTTGTTTCCAACATGAGATTTTAGTACCTCATATTTTCAGTTATTCTAGCAGAATGTTTTAACCTTTTTCTCGTGTAATGTAAATTTCTGAAAGTAGTCTTTATGATTTGAAATATTTCAAATGCTTTAACTTTCTGGCAGCTGACCACCCAAACAAATGATGCTATGCAGATGCGGATATCTATTCATATTGAACTGAGAAAACATATTGAAATTTTTCGAGGAATGCAAATGCATTGTGGTAAATTTTAGATTCAGGTTTTGCCGTTACGAAGCAGGCAACGTAAATGTTTGTAAGCCCTACATCGGTCAATGGAGTCTTTTTTTATTTCTTTGAACTACCACTCCATCGATAAAAATTTATTTGCGTTAGAATTTTGTAATTTCAAGGTACGATATGTGCATGATGAATTTTTTTGTCTAATATCCACAGTTTCAAGGTACGATGTGCGCATGATGAAATTTTTTTGGTCTAATATCCACAGTTTCACGGTACGATGTGTGCTTAATGATTTTTTTTATGTCTAATATCCACAGTTTCAAAGACGATGAAGGAGCTGGAGCTGCGCTGGAAAAGCGAGGAGCCCATCAAAATGTACCGCGACCTCCGCATGCCGCAGTACGAGATCAACGCAATACGACCTTCCATCTGCAACGAGTCGTTTTACATCGGTAAACAAAACTACGTGTGGAATATGAAAATAAATAAAATTGCAAGGAAACACACTATTTTGTTTGCTAATACGCTAAAATTTGATTCGCGCTATTGGCAATTTGGAAATTTTAGTGCACGTACACATCTAATTGATTTAAATTTCATTAAAAATTATAAATGAAAGCATCGATGATAAGCGAATGTTTGCCAATGAAAGGTTCCACCAGAGCGTTTTTCAGTAAGACGTCAAGGATGTGGAAGAAACCAATTTCAGTGATATGATATTTATGGATGGCTCTCCTCCACAAGGATTTCGAAGAGGCTAGTTAGGGGGGAAACTTCATCGTAGCTCACTGATTCGTCAAGGAGTTCGATTTGAAGCATATGCATTAAAAAGGTTATTGGATTGATTATTTCGGCTCGTTTTGCATCGAAATTTATTAATTAAACATTTCTTCAAGTTTATTTGTTTTCAATATCTTGTTTCAATTATTATTATCTGCTGTTCTACTCGCTAATCGTTAAACCTTCACATGTATGGCAATTTTCCCTTGTCGTTGCGGAACTAAAATGTTAAAGCTTAAACATCAATAAATTCAAAATACCACGGAAAGATGACATCAAATTTCAACTAGTCCAGTTTCGTCCATTTTAACGCATATTGACATATTCAACACAAATTAATGACCCCGCAGGTAACTATAGTTGTCTGGTGGCAGAGTTCAGCCTGCAGAGATCCATCGGCTTCTACCTGGTGCAGGTTTACCTGCCTACCATCCTTATTGTCGTGATATCCTGGGTCAGTTTCTGGATGGATGTGGACTCTGTACCTGGCCGTACAACTCTGGGGGTGACCACCCTGCTTACCGTGTCCACCAAGTCCTCAGGTGAGTGACTACCCTGCTTACAGTGTCCACCAAGTCCTCAGGTGAGTGACCACCCCACTCACCATGAACAACTAGTCATCAAATGAGCTTGCAGATGTTGATATTGCCAACGCCAACTCGCGTCTTACTTTCATGAATCTATATCAATATATCTTGTCTTACTTTGTAAAGTCGCAAAGAGATTCTGACTAGCCACAGATTGCGATCATGTGGCCAAGCTGACCTAGACTGACTTTAAACCGAGTGTAGCGACTCATGGATAGAAGCCTAGGTGTTCACCAACTTTTGTTATGGCCCTGATCAAAGTGTCATCGAAATACGTATTCCAAGGTGATGAAATTCAGGGTGAAACGCTCTCTCGAAGCACTAGCCGTTCTCATTTCAATTCTCTTGACTATCAAAATATTCGGCTATCAGACTAGTCACTTGAATCATTTTAGTTACACTGTGAACGATCGAGAAATCGTTCACGATATTTTTTATAGATTTTTATTATTGTTGTTATCAATTTCTTTATCAGGGTGGCAAATTCTACATATTAGTGTTAATGAATTTCCAGGTGGCCTCACATTGACTACCGAGCTTCTCTGCCATAGAGAGAAGTGACGAGGGCTGTTGAGTTTGTCGCTAAGGCAGTTGCGTCCTGTGAACTGATCGGCAACAATTATTTGCTTGGGCCAGTATTGTGGCAGCTACTGACTAGTCGTCGTGCTGATACGGCTTCTGCTCGTGTTTCCGCAGTGCGCTCTCTCCCTTATTGGACTGAATGTACGAGCCACCAGTTTTGTCACTTAGTTTTAGGCTATTACTGTCAAGTTCCTAATTTTAAAGTCTCTAGTCTGTCTCCAATAAAAGTGTTTTAAATCTCAGTGTTGACTGGAAAACTTTTGTTACAACAATAGTTCTGAGAGAACTACTAGATTTAACGTTCGTTAAATCTAGAACTACTAGATTTAACGTTCGTTAAATTTAACAATATTCCTCAATTACAATCCAATTAAGCAAGTAAGTGCATAGTTTAATATAAAACAAAAACTATCGTTCGTCGCACTCCCACTTTTCCGTCATTCCTCAATAAGGTGCGCCATTAATAACTTTAGTAAGGCTTCCTCTAAGCTGAATTAATTATTGAATAAAGTTTATTCGTTGGATTATAATCCTGAATCGTGATTATCCATGAGCTTCGCTGTGAGAGATACTCGCTTCTGTTGCAGATTATAGAAAATGATGTGGGGGTTGATTTTAAGTATTAATTTTGCAAGTAGATACGAGTAAATTTAATCTGTGTATGCTTCTTACTTATGTTTCGCCTTCACGATTATGAACCATTATTTCAAATTAAAATCCTAAATTCTATAAAAAAAGCACGTCACATTTTTCATTGTAAGAATTACTCGAAACCTCTTTAGTAAAAATTACGCATCAAATCATTTAAGTGACCGTCTCAACTTTGGATAAAATAAACTGATATAAATATCATGCTTGTTACGTAACATTATTAAATTTAACCAATTTTAGAATTTCGTGTGTCTGTAGAATGTTGATATTGTAATTGTTGGCAAAACATCGTATTTTTCAATTTTGTGCTCAAGGTTCAATTTTTCTGTATTTTTACCCTAATATTTTCTCTGTAATTTCAATCAGAAGCCACGTGATTTTATTTGTTCTGAGTAGACAAATGAATATTTTTCAGTTTTTTTGGTATCTTTTTGGTATTTTATAGCAGTCCCTGCTAATTTCGTTGAACTTGTTAACTCTAACGGCGAAACGTGTATTAGTGAGTCAATATTAGTGAGTCCTAACCCTTGAACGTTTTTTCGCAATATCTATTTTATTTCTGAATAATAATCATTTTTATATCCTAAAATTCTAAACAAGTTCAGTTTCCGGACTAATCTAATTATTTTTAGGGTAATTATATGTAAGTTCAGAGATATTTCCAGGGCTAATGTTTGTTTCTGAAGTTATTTGTGATATTTACGCACTCCAATAGTATTCAGGAGCTTGTCATGTATAGCGTTTTTATTAACCTAATTTTTAGCTATTGTTTATGTTTTTAATTACTCTTTTAAATGCAGATATCCAGGAAGGCCTGCCCCAAGTTTCCTACGTGAAGGCCATAGACGTTTGGATGGGAGCTTGCACCGGTGAGTAATAAAATGTTATTATTGTTGTAGAGCTTCCAATCTCTTAACGAACTGACGTCTCCCCGACACAAAACTTGTGATCGTTCATCAATCAGCTTTTTTCAGACCAAGGATTTTCTTCAATGAATAAAAAGTTGAAAGTAAATAGAATTAACGATGAATAAATAAAAACAAAACCACAAACCTAACCCTTAACCTAACCCTAAACGTGCGTTTCAATCACATCCAATTTACTTCACAAGTCCAATAATAATTTGATGCCTACCTGAAATAGAACAAAAATAACGCGTGAAATACCTAACTACAGAATATGAATAGATAATAAACAAATTAACATGCACAAATAATCATTATCACGGAACGATTCACTCTAAAATTGAACAATCACAAATATAATCACAGAGATATCGATTAACGTACCTCCACGGCAAGAACAGACACAATATAACGCCCTACTGCTTGGAGGTCACGGCTAAGGTGATTGTAAGGAAGACTACCTCGAAGAAACAAATCGTGATTTCATATATTATTATTAATATAATAAATAATTAAATATATTTTGGTTTTACTTCACGAAGAGGCTCAAAATGTTGATTAATATATATTGGTTTACTTCACGCATATAATGAAATAATATGATAATATACAGTATATTACATTGCACTTAAAAAATATATTTACAGCAATAAATATGTTTCCTCTGCATTATTAATTTTATTACCTGAATGATTATTATTAATTATAGAATTATCTTATTGCTTGAGAGATAAATGTTCTGCAGCCTAAGTTTAAAATAAATTTATGTAGCACTAACTCCAAAGAATCAGAATTTAAAACGGATTATTCCATCATTTAAACAGAACATATTATTTGTGGTTAAATTTACATCAGTTACACGTATGAAAAACTAAACACTTCAAAATGGAAACTAAAATGACAATTTCATTAATTGACTTTAATTGGAAACAGAACACACAATAAGAAATTAATTAATTTTTCATGGATGGCCTATATGTTTTTAACGGACTTTAGAGTAGGTTTGAGTTTCAAAAATTTGAAAGATTTTTTTTGTGTGTAGCAACGTATGTCGATCAATCTTGGTCAGTTCGGTTTCCGATTTGAGTCGTTACTGCCGTCAATTTTTGACGGAGTCCGATGTCATGCCCAGCATTTGTATCGTCAGCTCTTCAATCATCGCCCACATAACACCAATGGAGCGTAAAAGATACACATGAATTGCAATCATAAACTTTATCGAATAAGGTTACGAGGGCGATTTATTGTGGATAGACGCATGCGCCTTTTTGAAATAGAGGTAAGGCATAATATATTTGAATATTTCATAACTTGACATTGCAGTAAGGCATTTCGTTTCTTTACTGATATAATAGAAATGTAACTAATAACATAATTTTAAAGCCCAAATTTAAACGAACTCTTTCCATGAAATCAAATTTACAAATGTTTAAAATTATTGCAGTATTATATGAATCGAGTATACCAGAAGTTATTTAGACTAACTTTCCTGTAAACAGTATCTATAATGTGAAATAAAGGTTCTTAACCACTCAAAATTTGAATTTTAGATATTTGCGAATCCTATAAGTCCTATAATCTAAAAGGAATATTCGAAAAATTGCTGCACAAATGCACTATTAATCTAAAAAACAAGTTGAATTCTTATGTACAATCAAACAATAGCTCCCACAAAATAACTAAAAAAACACAACTAGAAGTTTATTAGTTATTTGTTGAACAAATAATCACAGAAGATTGTTTTTTCGGTCGGAGTATATCTGAAAATGAATCAATTCTGAACAGAGGTAAAAATCATGAATAAAAAGAGTTTCTTAAGTCATGCACAAGAGTACACAACAAAACAAGCACTCAATCAATCTAAAGTTATTACATTACAAAAACTGCTCTGTGAGCCTCTTCGATCGTTAACTCTGTGCGTAAACAACTCTGAATGCATACCGGTACTCAAAAATGCCGTTATGAATCCCTGCAGGAAAATAAGGCTTGTGAGCAAAGGGACTTAGGAAGCAACAGACACTCTCTGTGAGTGTGTGGGATTGAGATTCCAGTTCCCCTTTATGCAAAGCTACCGAGACTGACTGTTCGCACAAGCGTTTATTCCCTAAGCGGCTGTCTTTATTTCAATTCTATCCTAACAGATAATTTAGACTTCCACTTTTTATTAAGCTTACCGTGAACTTCATGCAACCGGGGCCGGAGATTACAAAATGGAAAAATTACTGGTTGAAACTGAAAAAAAATTAATAACTGGAGTACATTCACAAAATGATAGTCTCTTGCTGTTATTATTTATTATAATTATTGTATATTATATTGATAATTTATTTATATAATTATTGTAAAATTTTCAATGCGTTTATACATTTAAATTAAGCAATAATCTACTGCAATATTAGTGCCATCTGAGAAAAAATTCATAGCATTTTGAAAATAATTTGAATCGGTAAATTCATCTTTACACTCACAATCATTACAAAAAAAGTATATTCAAAGGATTGATAGATAACCAGTTTTGCTCGATTAACATTACAGCTCTGTTGGTTAGAACCTCTTAGGGGCCCAGCAAGTTAAGCTGTCGGCAGAGCATCAATTAGCTAGAGAATCAGTGTGGTGTGAACTTACTCTAAAAGGCAAGGATAGCCTTCTCATAGGGGCCATTTATAGATCACCTAACAGGAATTCTGATAACAATAAAGTACTAAACAGCCTTTTACCGAGCATGGCTTTTAGCAGGTCGCATACGTTGATCGTTGGTGACTTTAACCATCCAGAAATAGACTGGGCAGATAAATCTTTTCCAAGAGATGGGAATCACCCAGCATCCCATATTCTTGGAGTCTGTGCGTGACTCAATTTTAATCCAGAACTTCACCAAGCCAACCCATTTTAGGGGTAAACAGACCTCAAATATTCAAGATCAAGCGTTTCCCTGTAATAATGATTACGCGTGCACGCCATCGACTCCAACTGCCGCGTGCTGTTCCCGCTCAGCTTCATGTTCTTCAACGTCATCTATTGGTGTTATTACCTGCTCTAAGATTGGTGTTATTACCTGCTTACCTGCTTTAAGATTATTGGTGTTATTACCTGCTTTAAGAAACAAGTTCGAAGGTTTTTTGACTTTAAATGGGAGTTTATGATTTACGAGAATCAAAGCTTAAATTGAGTGCACAGTTTAAAACAACGATTCCATTTGTTGCCATGAATAAGTGGTTCATCACCTTCTGATATTGGAAATCAAAGGTGGTACATTCCGTAAGATCGCTTTAGCCAAGCATATGATGACTTCAACCAAACTGTCCACATGGTATTATTTTCCATGCGGTACATATTTTTCATTTCCAGCAAAACTTGACTTTTCACCGTTTCTCCAGCGCTAAAGAGTTTTGGTATGTCAACCTGCACCTCCACGTCGCAATTTTCATGAAAGTATGGATAAAAATACAGCAAATGCCATCTTGTGTATCAATATTCTTGATGGATACACATGACTGTATTATCCAGTGTTGTGATGTGTACTATAATTTCATGGCAAATGCTTACAAGGAAAGTTTGTCTTCCTGCAACAAAATGTTGGAAACCTCTCTCTTAAAGAGTGATAACTCATCACTATTGTAGGTATATGTACTATATTTAATGAGGTTATTTCACTTTCTACAACCTCTATTTGTGCAATAGAAATGAATCATGAGAGGATTGCGAGCCTGTGCAATGTTGAAAATAGAGGCATGGGCGACCTGAACTTTATATAGTTGAACTTTTGGCCCTCTATAGCTCACATAAAACAGTGGCCATGAGCTGGATGCATGCATTGAACAAATTTATTTATTTATTGCGCAAATAAATAAATAAAACATTAAAAATGGTTTTGCTTTGTTAAATAGATCGCTGTCAGTATGTCTTTGGAAGCGAACGTAATAATAACGTCAAGCGCTCAGCAGAAAGAAGCCTGACAGGACTGGGCAGACGTAGAGCTGCGCTCATCATTCCCGTTGCACAGCATCTCATAATGAGCTGTTATGTTTGTTCTTTCGCCGTTTTATGACTACCCATTATTCTGTATTTTTTCATAAATGGGCTGTTCTGGGTCAAGATTGTTCTTATTCTAGAAAATAATTGCGCGGTGATAGCATTTGAGAGAACACTTCTCACACCAGAGTTTTAAATGGAATTGAGTTTTTATTGCTTTTTAATAGCGGAAAAACGTTTTATTCTCCAGCGTACAATATTCCAATGTTTGGACCATCTCAACAATGCTGTGTAAGAAAACAAAAATTAGAATAAGAGGGCATTCAAAAGGTAAGTGCTCAGGCGATCTATCAAACATAGCTGTCTTATTTTTATTTTTTTTTTGTTTTCGGCAGGAGATAGCAGTGTATATTACGATAGTGTTATAGCTACGTAATTAACATGCATGATGTTACATAAAAAACACTATTAGTTTTTGCATTGATGCTCGCGTCCCAGTGCGTCCCTAGCAACGTATGTTTGTTCTGTATCAGTTTTGGTGGAAAAAAATTACTATATTTTTACATGCTACAATAGGGGTGTGTTGTTTTAGGTCTTATAGTTAAGCTGTAGCGCAACATTCAGTGTATCGATTTACAATTTACATGTTCGGAGTCAGGAATACGCGCATTCACACAAGTTTTTCCAATCTTAAATGTAACATTAGTTTTCTTCTTTTGCTCAATGTTCATTCAATAAATGTACTCTTGGTAATAATGTTTATGTATCTCTCATTTCAAAGCAGGATCGACTACAGGCGAGTTTTGATTCATTCAAACGATGATTTTGACGTCCATACTGTACATGTTTTCTTCAATTCATCTATAGTTTATATGAAAATATTATATTCTATAACAAGAAACAATCTCGAAAAAACTTCCAGAAATGGCCTTCTTTGAAGAAAAAGTGTTCTTACACGTGTAGTGCAGGTAAAATACAATTATTGTGTAGGA